TAACGAGGAGCACTGTCTCAATGGGATAGTTGGAGAAGCAGGCCTGCAGGGGGCGTCCGACCACCAGGCCCAGAGGATGCCGGTCAGCAAGGTCAGCGCAGGCAGCCCCTCTCGCTACCTCTATCCCACATCCCTCTGGAGCCAGTGAGGCAGCCCTTATGGCCAAGTGGGAAGAGCTGAGCAAAGAATTACACAAGACAACAATGGATCACGGCCCAGTGTGTGACCTAGGCCCAGAGATCACAGGTGCCCTCAATGGATGAGAGCCTCAGGAATAAATACACCAGGGAGTAAGGTCTAGGAGTGTCACCTGCTGTCCACAGTGACTTACACAGAAGGACCCCCTCAAGGATAGGACCCAAGGCCACTTCCTGCAAGCCTGAGGTTGTAACTACTTCCTTCCAAAGAGAGCCCTATGGGAAGCAGAGAGAAAGCAGGCAGCCCGGGAGGCTGGGGGCCAGCCTTGGCCAGGCAACCGGGTCAGCGTCAGTGCCGGGTCCTGCTGCCCTCGGTGTCCTCTGCAGGCTCTGGAAGAAGTGACCCTGAGCCACTGTGATCTTCCTCCCCAAAGCCCTTCCCCATCTGACCATGAGAAGAACCTTGGGCAAATCGCAGAGGGAGACAATCCCAGAGCCCCTGACCAACAAGTGTCCAAACTGTCCAGGACGTCAAAACCCAAGAAGGTCTAAGAACAGGCAAATCCAGAGGAATGCAGGAGCCAGGATGCCCAAGTGCTACCCAGAGCTCCGACCAGACCCCGAAGAGCACATGGGCCATCCATGAAACCAGGGCAATGTGAACAAGGCCCAGGTTCAGTGACAGTAATGTCTAGCACCGGGCACCGATTGTCCCTCACTACCCATGTGAAATGTGAACAGGCCCTGCCTGCTGGCGCATGGGAACACTCCGGTCCCACTTCCCAGTTCCTCTGTGAAGCCAGAAATGCTTGAAAACAAAGGATTCACTGAGGAAAGATGGGTGGACGGACCTGTCTCACTACCCAGTGACTCCCATGGCCCCGCTGGAAGCCAGAGGGATGTCCAGCCCACACGGCCCAGAGATCACAGGGCACCTGTCGGGCGGAGATACCCCAGGATCCCCCTCTTCAAAACAGCACCCCAGAATCACAAGAGGGCAGCGCCTCATCCCCTGGACTGTGTCCTTGTGCAAGGTACCTAGGAAGCCACCTCTCCAGGAAGCCATGCCAGTCCCTCTCCCACCTGGCATGGCCAAAGCAGGTGTGTGGGCCAGAGGCCACTCCTCAGGCTCTAGTGAGTACAGCAAGACAGGGACGGCTGCAAGGATTCAGGGTGCCCGTGTCTCAGGGTGACAGGCTGTGGACCTGGCCTGCATCCAACTGCAACCAGCGCCCACACTGTGGGGCCCAACTCCACTTTAGTTAATCCCAGATACACGTGGTATTCATTCCATAAACACCTTAGTCATTTTTCCCCCTTAAATTAGCCAGAGTGGGATTTATGGCCTCAAATCAGAACCCTGGCTTGGTTCCCCAGGGTTCATTTTACCTGAGCCAGAATAAGATCCTGTTTGGGGTCAGCAGACACAAGGACACATCACTCACATGATTCAGTCTCAGACCACCATGTGAGTTCCGTCAAAGTCTCCTGCAAAGCCACCTGTCCACCAGAGAGCCTTTGAGCCTCCTCCACCCCAGGCTCACTGCCCCCTTGCCAACCCCCTCCTTCTGCCCTTCCTGCTCTCTACTCCACACAGCTCAGCTTTGCGAGGAAACCCCCCTGTCTCAAATCTGAGCACAGTTGTGGGTTCAAGGCACTCGACAGCTTCCAGGGCATGTAGCATTTACAACTATGAGGACCTCAGCAAAGCAAATGCATTCCATAAGGGTGAGGGTTCCATCCATTCTTCAGTCAATGAGCTTAAGGATGCCCCTGGCTTGAGAGAGGCCCTACTCATCCGAGTCTGGTGTCCCAGGCTCCAGGTCTCACACCCGAGGTTTTGGGCTGCTAGTTAACCGAGCTGATGCCAAGCAACTGTTTGGCTCCAGCCTCTCATTCAGATCTGAGGACCAGAGCTCCTTTGAAAGTGACTCCCTGTTGGAAAAGGAACAGAGGGGTGGCTGGTGTAGACGGGAAAGAAAGAGCCCCGTCCTCACCATCCCCCAGAACCACAGAGGTGTGCTCAGGGATCTGGGTGCTTCTGAACCACGCACTCTTGGGGGAGGGAAATGGAGGGGGAATGGCTGGCGAGAAGGTGGGAGAAGGGCTGAGGGCAGTGGGACGCCTCAGTTGTTTACCAGAAGGAAAACATTTTCCGAAATTAAAAGGGATCCTTAGATGTCGAAGGTATGAAAGCGTTTTGCTTTTCCCCTGCGAATGTCAGCTTAGGAACAGGAGCGGAAGGGTAGAACAGACTTTATTAGATGACATGCAGTCCCATCCAGGGCTTCTCATCCTCAAAGGGACAGGCACGTACACACATACACACACACACACACACACACTCACACACACACACACACACACACACACTCTCTCTCTCTCTCTCTCTCTTACACACACACACACACACACACACAGCAATTCTTTTTAAAAACTGCCTTTATTTACAATGTGGTTCCTAGAACAGAAGCCATCCTTCTGTGCGTCAGTCATGCATCCCCCCTGAGGCCACAGCCACACAAATAGCAGGGGAGCTGTGCAGAGATGGTCAGTCATCGTCAACAGAGTCCAAAGTGCACGCACACCATCAGCCCTACATTCGGAAATGTGGACGGGTCCCCTCTCGCGGGTGGCAGTCGACTTGGTCCCCTCTCCACTCAGCCATCCTCTAGTGGCAATGGATGTTCTACTGACACCTGACCTAACAAAGCTCCCTCTGGACCGTGTCAGCCCCATCATCCACACAGACACTGGATACACAGGTTGCAATTCCACAAAAAACAGTTGCAAGAACTCAGTGGGATCCCACAGGGTGGTTTGTAACCGAGGGCCAGGGGAGGGGATCGACTAGCCCTAAACATTGGAAAGCTATGCTAAATTAGTGCCAAACTGACTTCATCTAAAAAGATAGGTGGTGTATTATTTTCTAATTTTGGAATTCAAACTAAAGGCTAATAGCATTGTCAGGTCCAAATTCACCTCTCTCTGTCCCATAGACAGAGAAGATTCATTCACAATTAGAGCATCTTAATATTCAGCAGGTGCTGTGGGAGACAGGGTACCCTCTTACCAAGTTAAACACACCTCGGGAAGTACTTGTCTGTCATATGGAAACTGACTCATTGCCATGCATCCACAGTCCTGAGCTCTGAACCACCACACTTTGGCTCCACAGTCAGAACTGTGCAACTGTGACCTCTACGTGGGGCCCCTGAAGCTTCAAATGTCTTTGTTTCTGAAATTGCAAAGGTCCGGGTCCCCTAGATGGTGGCCCTGCAAAGTGAATTTCTCTTGGTTTTGTTAGATTGCCAAGGCAAAGCAGCCTCTGGGCTCCAGGGGATGTGTTTACTGTGCAGTAAGCTGGGACACAGAGCTCTCTGTGAATGCAGAGGTATACTTACAACTGTTTCCTACAGAGCCTGGAGGAGGACTGCAGTTCCTGAAATCCAAAGCTTCCAGGCTGCAGGCCGCCCCTAGACCCAACAACCAGCATGAAGGACAGAAGGGGCAGCAGAATGGAGGAAGACAGGGCTCCCTTTATACAAAGCATTTGGTTTTCTATTATACTTCTCTCTAGACCAGTAGTTCTGCAAAGATCATCAAGCTACACTTGAACTTGGGAAAGCAAAACACCTGGCCAGCAGCCCAGGGCAGGGCCTGTGACCAGCTGCAACTCCATCGCCAAAGAGGGACAGAGGAATCCCCAAAGAAGCCTCAGCCCCCCAGAGGTCCTCACACCCCCTAAGTCCTTGTGGCCAGTCCCCACATGCAGGTCAGCCTGAGCCAGAGGTCTTACCTCCCAGGCTGAGCCACATGCAGTCATTATACTAATGCTCTTCAGGGTCTGTCCCTGCAGTTAAAATCAAAAAGCAGTTCCTGACACTAGCTCACAGTCCACTGCACTTCAACATGCAGGGTACGAGCAGGAAGAAGTGGCGATTCGTTTCCTTAAACTCACCCACCACTGAACAGAACATAAAGAAAGAAGCCACTCCACAGCCCAGATGGAGGGGGATGAGAAAATAGATCCATGTTGGATGAACTTTTAAAACCCACATATAAAATGTGTCTCGGAGGCAGCCGCGCTCCTATTTTCAGGGTTCGTAACACACACTTTATGGCGCTGCTCGGCAGGTCAGGTCACTGCGCTTTGCAGCAATGTTCGGAGGCTTTAGGCGGCCGACACTCACTCTAAATAGCTGTTCTGGCCAAGCCTAGCCACACTTAAAACAACACTCTTTAATGGAAATGGAATCCGTCCACGGCAAGCAGCGCAGTCCAGAGAGAGAGATGGAGGGTACTTTCTAAAGCCCACGGTGCCCAGGCTCAGAGCCTCATCCTGGGTATCAATGTACATAAGATATGCCAAAAATCCCCCCATGCCTCCTCCCCTTGCATTGCCCTCTTAGTTCTTGAACACTGAGCTCTATTTCCAGGGAAAGATGAAATGACAGCCTCGAGGTTGAAGCCATGGTATACTTAGAACTCGGCTTTGGGAAGAGACTGAGCTGGCAGCACCGTCTTCTCCACCCTCTCCGACTACACTGAGGCCTCATTTCAACTGAGGCATTCAGCTACCCGATGGTGAGGTGGCTGCTGGCTTGTGGATGGACCCTCAGGGGGAGGCCAGGGTCTCACACCAGCATCCCCTGGCTGCCTGGGAGTGGCCGGGGAAAGCTGTACTATGTATTTTCACAGCCCAATTGCCAACCCAGAAAGATCAAACCAGCCTCTGCTTTACCAGCAGGACACAGCGTGCACAGACCTGCAGACGGGCTACACTTTAGACACACACTGCTCAGACTCCCCAAAGCAGTGTCCACCTCCGCACTGGGCGGAGGACGCGGCTACCCAGCTTACCTCAGCGTGAAGCGGTCCTCGGTGGAGTTTCTGGAAATGGAGATGGGGAAAGTCAGTACGGCTCCTTGTCGAACCGTGGTTGGGACGTAGTGAACGGCCACATTGCTGTCCAAACGCAGCTCCCTCAGGGCCGGGGAGCTGTGGGTCTGGTAGAGGAAGACACTCCCAATCCTGTGCAAGGGGGGCGCAGACTCGTCCATGTCACTGTGGCCAGTCCGAGCGCCATTGCTGTTCCTGGAATCCTCTCGGGTGCAGTCCCCTCGGTCGCCCCCTGGCTGCACGGTGTAGTAGAGCTCCACAGGACTCCCCTCGGGCTGCTCCGCGGGCTTCCGCCTCCCCACCACCGTAGGGGGGCTGAACCAGCTGGCCGGGAGCTCCAGCTCGGCCACGCACAGCCCCAGGTCCCCGCCTAGCTGGCAGCTGCCCCTCACCTCCCGGGTCTCCCGGAAAGCGAAGACCCGTAGGCAGGGCAGCCTCTCGGCCGCCCGATGGTCATCCCAGTCTCTGCCCACAATGTAGAAGAGGATTTGCACCTTGGGCCGGCTCAGGTAGATCTTGTCCCGCAGGATATAGGACTTCAGTTTCCAGTTAAGGGAGAACTTGCTGGTGAACCCGAAGGGGTTGGAGGGCAGCAGCAGGTCCTGGGGCACCACCTGCTCCATGGAGAAGGGCCCGTAGCTGGCGTTGAGCACCGGCAGCCCCTTGGATTTGTAGACGAGGAAGGATTCCACCCGGGACTGCAGGCTGGAGTTGCGCATGATGTCCTGGTTGGCCTCCTTCAGGAAGAAGGAGACGTCCGCGTGGTGGATGTGGTAGGTCACGGGCAGATAGGTGGGCAGCAGCGAGAACCTCTGGGTGCTTTCCAGGATCCCTCGGCCTTCCGTCACTGTTGGGAGGGAACCGGAGCCTAGGGTTAGTCACCCCCGTCCTGCAGACCTGCACGCCCCCGCCAGAGCTGGCCGCCCTGTGTCTATGCCAATTTATTCACCCAGCGTTTCTTATCCACTTGCTACTCAATACATGCGGCGCCTACATATTCATGTTAGAAGGAATGAAGGTCTCTACTGTAAGCAGAAAACCACAGCCATTTGCCACCCACGGGAGCTGAGCATGCCGCTGACCAAGGTTCAAACAAAAGGATCTTCTTAAATTTCAACTGGGGGTCACAGTGCCTCAAGGAGGTCAGGTCTGCAACCTGCTCTCTTCTTGTTACAAGGGTGGATAGCAAGGGTCGGGAAGGCAGTGACATCGCCAGCAGAGAGCCCTCCCCGTGGCACCACCAGATGGCTGAGATGGAAGCAGGAATAAGTTTCCCACGGCAGGTGTAGGCCACATCCATTACCCACGCATGGCACTTCATGTCCACCATTTATACAGGCCACATGAAGGACACCGTGTAAAGAGGAATGGTGAAGGACCAGGGTGAAAATAAATTAAGATGGAGGCAATCACCACCCCTTGGCACTGTCCTGTCCTTGGGTGAAGCTGAGGAATGCAGAATGCGGGAGGGTACTTTGGAAGGAGTGCTCAGAAGCAGATGAGATGCCTGACCTCACCCGCTCCACGCCCTCTGGCCAACTGGGACACCAGAGCTGTCCAAGGGACAGTGTCTCCCTCCCAGGAGGTCCACACCCCATGGAGATGACCTGTCATCAATGAACAAAACCCTTCTTTCTTTTTGCCTCACTGAGCATATCCCTCCCCCATGAGAAAAAAAAAAAATCCCAAATGCCATTTTTTATAGTTTGCTTTACATTTTGTAAGAAAAACACAGAAATTACATAATATACAAAGAACGGATTTAGCGAGTTTTTGAAATGGAAATCACTGGCTCTGCCAAGCTTATGTCTAGGCGAAACTCCGCCAGCCGCACACTGGGGGTGCCAACTTGCCTCTGGCCAACCTGTACCACAGCTACCCCAGCCCAAGGTCTCCATGCCACCTGTCTCAGAGGCCCTTGGGGACATGCTCTGCCAAGGGAGACACCCCAAGTCTGCAGCAGGGGACAGCAGAGAACTCGGAGAGGGGCCTGTGCCCGGCTTTGCACACAGCTGTAGGCAAGTCATGGACCCCCTTGGCTTGTCTGGGTTTGACAACGGCACGAGGCCTGACCCCACACTGAAGCTACAGGGCACCTCGGACACTGCGAGGTGCCCAGGGGCCTCCAAGCTAACTGCTAGCCTGGAAGCCATGTGGCCAGCTCGTCAGGGGAATCTCAGTCCAACGTCCATCAAACCCAGGGCGGCTGAGCCCCAACTTCACCACCAAGGCTTGTGCCCTGCTCAGCTCTAGGCATTCTGGACTGGCCCGAACCCTAGTAAAGATGGGTTTCTATCAGAAATCAGAACACCACAGCTACAGCAAGAAGCTACATCCACCCTCAGGAGGATGACACGCTTCAGCTTTCTGCAAGTCACTCGTGAGACTCCCACTGAACTCTCCCTGCATGCTTTTAGTGAAAGGAGAGGACGGGGTGAACGTCCCACCCATGTGCTGGGTGGAGGCTTTGGGCTGCCTCTTCTCCGGGGCCCCACGTTGCCCTGGCCATGCTCCTGTGCCCACTTCCCCCTGCCTGGAACCCGTTCCTAGACTGTGTGTCTCTGGTCCTGGTCCCCACTGCGACCACACTTCCCTGTCAGAGCTTAATGCTTGCTGGTGACTTCCCACACACATGGGGCCCCGCACAGCGAGGGGCACAGGCACAGGGCCTTTCTCTCCATGGTACTCGCTGGGCGTCCTCGGCACAGGGCCCGGCAAACATCAGGCACTCAATAAACGTTTAATAAGCAAACGAATGAATGAATGAGTCCACAAATAGATTATGTTTTTTAAGTTTCCAAGCGCAGATTACATTTTCCATTAGGACGGTATTTGCTGTCCTCCCCGCTGCATTACTGTGATCAGAATCCCTGATCCTTTTATCCCCCAGGGGCTCCATGTAATACAACCGCCAGGGAACTAAGGAGTCCCTGTGTGGCGAGATTGCTAAAGGGCCTCTGTCCATCACACAGCACCCCACGTGAAAGCCCACCTGACCCTCCCACCGTGACCACCTGGACCCGCTACCTGCCAACTTCGCCATTCAGTGTAGGAACGGCCAAAGCCAAATGGCGAAATCACAGGCAGGTGGACATAGACATGAACCCCAGGGCAGTGAACTTCCCTGCTGAGGGTCCGAATCCTAACACTGAGGACACAAAGTTAATTTGCTACTAATGACACAGTCCCAGGCCAACAGTGTCAGGTCCTCTGACTTGATTCAGGAAAGCGGGAAGGAGAGGTCACTGTGAATGTCATTTGAGGGGCACTAACTCTGCAGCTTTGTTCTACAGTCGGCCTGTCCTTCTTTGTGCCTGGTATCCGACCGCCATGTTTAGAACGTCCACATGCTGCATGCCCAGTGCCACTCCCCTCGTTCATTCCCTCGGTTTTTACCAAGCTACAGAAATAACAGCCGTCACTCGGCACCACGCGGGAACGGCTGAGGGGACTGTCCCCGGCAGCAGACTCCCACAGGGCGGCGGCCGGAACCCAAGAACACCATCTGCACGCCACATAAAAACGCGTGGAGTGTCAAGTGGTAAAAGCAGCTATGCACAGTTAATCTCAATTAGCAACCATCAAGAAACATGATAACGTGCAATTGTGCAACCGTGGCTGTAAATGCGGAGCTGAAGGAAAGTGGCGCGTTCAGGTCTTTGAGCAGCTCAGAGGCCTCACAGAGGTTTTATAGGAGCCATGTGACATGACTGAGCATACACTTCTTCCCTGAGTAACTAAGTCACTGGCCATCTGCGCACAGGACCTTACCCCCTGCGTGGACCCAACGGGAATGACCACAGGAACGTGACAACAGCTAAAAGTCCACGTCTGAGCTTCAGCCCACCCATCCTGGCTCCAGAATTCTGAGGCATCACCTGGGACTCAGGCAGAAGACTGCTCGGCCAGGGCTTTCAGGGGAACCCTGGGACCCCATTGCCATCAGACTCCCAGTAAACAGAAATATTCCAGGGTCCACACTTATCATAAACTCAGTACCAAACTCTGGTTGTTTTGCTGGAATTCAAAGTCACTGAGCACCTTGGATTTTGATTTTCCAAGTCTGGCCACCCTGGGCTTGGAGTCACGGAGACAGAGCAGCAGTGAGCCTGCTCATGCTGCCTGGTCTTGGTCAGAGCTGACTGGACCACACGACAGCCCCCGCTGGGAAGGGAGGGAGCCCTCGCATCCACGGGGTGTGCTCCAGACTCAACCAGTGCAGGTCAAAACAGGCAGGGACGGCTCCTCTTGCCACTATGCCCTGCATATCTGGGCTCACGGCTCTTCCGGAAGCACTGGCATCGTGCCTGGCATGACAAGGGACCTGGGCAGACATAAAGCGCCCAGTAGAATGCATGTGGTTCTGAGCCGACACATCATGTTATATTAGGGACTGGAGCACCCACAAGCTGTGACCAATCCCATGGACACTGGGGAATGAGAGGATTCCACATGCCAGGTGCCAACAACCTCTGAATTGCAACCAGCAGGATCGAGGGTAAGCCAGCCACACGGAACAGATGGCCACGCAGGTCAGGCTCCTGCTGATGTGCCCCCCTGACAGAGCAGGGTGCAGGACAGCAGGTGGCAGGGCCACCCTGAGCTCTCAGAATGAGTCCAGGCCTAACCTAAAACCATGACAGAATCCAGTCCCCAGGTAGCAGTGTCATCAGACCCTCAGGAGCCGTTTCCAGCAGTGGGTCTCTTGGGGATGCCGGTCACCATGGGGATGCATATGGTGAAGTGCAGGGCGGCCCCATCCAGAGAGCTCTGAGAGCAAGGGAAAGCCCATGGAGACCAGGAGACCCCACTAGGCAATGGACACTTCCAGCTCCCAGGTGACCCTTACACTGAAGCCAGTCCACCTGGAAGAGCAAGAAGCAAAGAACAGGAGACAAGGACTCACAGTGACAGTGCAGGCCACCAGGAGGAAGGTCAGGAGGGGCAGCACTCACGTTTTCCCCCTCAGCCTCACACTGCCCAGGATTGTGCCACCTCCCTTCCCAGCCTCAGGATGCTGCTCCACTGTTCCTGGCCTTGTGTTCAGGCCTCTGTCCACCCCCAGGTGCAACCCCTACCTTCCTGCACTGCTGCCCTGGCCCTCGGGGTCACCAGGCTGTCCCTGGTTCAGGTCTCCAGCAGGGATATGGCCTCCCCTTCTAGACCATTGCCCATCAGGCCCCCACTCCGGGAGGTTCTCCCGTCTGCAGGGAACTCTGCGTCCATGCGGTGGCTGGATTGCCTTTCTACTCGGGTGTACAGCAAATGACACTTTGTTCCTAAGTTTGTTTTCTTCTCATCACCAAATTCCTTCCATAGTAAGGAAGGAATTTGCTGGAACACCGCCCCTGTGCTACAGTGATGTGGGAGCCCGTCCCCTAGCACCCACGTGCTCAGCACAGGGAGGACCCTGAGACAGAGAGGGCCAGGGACCAACCGTGATGGTCGGGCTCCTTGATGACTCATCAGGAGACCCTCACAAGGCATTTAAGCATCAGGTTCCTTTTGTTGTCTTTTGTGTTTTAAGTTACGTTTCTCCCAAAGAATATCAACCCACAATGTTGTGTGGTCCCCAGGGGTGTGCATACAAATGCATGCACGCACACGCACACATGATTGTAGAGTGGAACACGTTCACTTTATACACGCCGTTCTTTATTCGCTTCTAAAACACTGAGGTTTATTGTAGAAAATATTCCAGAAGAGAGCGTGTCCTCAACCCCGAGTGACTCAGGGAGCCCATGTGCACAGCAGCTTCCAAAGGTGCCAACACAGGGCAGCGGGTCTAGTCAAGGAGCTCGCCACCCATGGGGAAGCCGTGAACTTCCCTGTCCTGCTCACTTGGGC